ATTTAAGATCATTTTCATGATATTGAACACGTTAAGCACATACACTCGACCTAATCACACAAATAACTGTTCAACCAATGAGAAGATTATACACAAACATAAAAATGTAGACATGACTAAAAAACAACATTGATACTCTCTTGCCTTCAACACCGAAAATTAAAAGGATAGGATTTGGGCCAATGAGTTTATAGGTCAATATAGCATCTCTACCATGCCTCCCCAAAGAGGGCAAATTTCAAAATATCCCCTGTAGTTCAGATTTAACATTATATACAATACTGTATTTAATTTGATACTTCAAAACTAAGTTTTTATATGGATAAAGATTATTCAACCAAACTTGAAAATATTGTTTTGTACAGTATACTAAAGATACGAATACATCAAAGTATTTTTATTGTGATCACCAGAAATGATTTATGTAGTTTTCTAAAATATTAAAGCTTGATTTGAACCCACGGGACATATATTTGATTAAAATCCAAGCACCTATTTGAACTGGCCATGTTAACTGGTGAGTAATTTCAGACTTGGGTTAATTTCATCTCATATTTAACTACTTGAAATTGAATGCAGGAACTTCTGGTTGATACTCCGCCTAAAGAGATTGACTTGAAATAAGCAATCTTGTGGATGGATTAAGCTATCCAGGTAGAACATATCTTTTTTATTTGTATTTTACATATCTGCGTTTGTATACATGTACATATCCTATCTCTCACTGTAAATACATTAGTATTTACATGTCTTGACAACACCATAAATTCATAACTTTTAATAAATATCTTGAATGCTTAAAAATCTTTTCCTCCCATAAATGTGCATTTCTTCGTAAAAAACTTAACTTTGAATAACACCATACCAATGTTGAAGTTTTTGCTTAAATGCATTTTTGTGTACTGTATTTGGCTAAAACTAACTTGTATTTATATATTTGTATAAAGCTCACATACTGAATAACATTCAGCTCATTGTGAATCTTTTAGCATTAATAGAAATAAACTTTCTTAGAATTTCTCCCTAAAATCTTAAGATATACAAAAAGCAAGATATAATTAATCATAAATGATGCAGATTGTTGAACAATACTCATAAATAAAATCATAAATATTCTTGCTAATTGCAGGCAGGTACTTAGACCTTCAAAACCACGTATTGCTTTTCTTCATCAGAAAGTTCTTGACCTCCCATACACGACCTTCCATAAACAAATAGTCAAGTTTTTTGTGATAGGCATGTGCAGCAATTAGGATGTTTTTACTTGGACTGTAATTTGCCCCAGACCAGATCAGACCAGACTTGGGTAGTTATAAAAATACAAAGAAACGAAACTAGACCAGATCAGACCAGACCAGACCAGATCAGACCAGTAAATTACAGTTCTACATCCTTAGTCCTCTGTGCCAACAAAAACAGTGGTTAAGACATGGGGTAAACGTCATGATTAATGAATAAGTTAATGAACGTTAGAGTAAATTAACATAGCATATACAAAAAAACTCTTCATTATGGAAAAGAATGTCTAGAGATTCAACATATAAAATTAGGCTTATAAGAGACCACATCCCCACCTTAACAACTCTTATTTTCACCTCCTATGCATTCTTTGTATTGTTCTATGACAGAAATATATAACTTCTTTTGCTATTATAGTTTGATGTGTAATGGATGTGCTTCTCTTGCTTTTATAGGGGATGTGCTTCTCTTGCTTTTATAGGGGAGCTTCTCCTGGCTGGAAATGAGATACACCAAATCCTAGTTACTGTGCTCACCACCCAATTCAACCAAATAGTAACTCACAATCAACAGTGTGCACCTCCTTTTTGGACAAATAGGAACACACAAAACATAATTCAACTGTGCAAACCCATGTATACACACTATGCAACCCCAGACTTTCAACCCTACACGCCACATTTCTCCTGTTTCTTTTGATGTTGAGAGTTTTGGGCGGAGTACTATTCCCAAAAAATCTTTTGCTTTTATATTAGAATAGATATTAAAGTAGCAGGTCTAAGATGTTCACATAGGCTAGGCATCTACGTATTAATCAATCCCACCAACCATGCATACTCCGTATTAATTAATTCCTTCGATCCCCCACCTTCCCTTTCCAATTCATTAATTAAACGGCGTCCCCTCCCGACCAATGAGCCCACTCTTCTTCACAAGAGATCGATAATGGGAGATAGAACCGCACCTTTCGACTAGGAGGTTCTCGCCCTGCATTTTGGTACCTTCGGTATGGTACACAAGATGACGGACATTCCAAAGACTGTATCAATATCTCTATCTATCACTGACAGTGAAGAGCTTGACCGAGATAAGTTTGAGAATGTGACAACATACAGATGTAAAACCAGCGAGTTTGGATCCACGATATTAAAAGTGGTTCCAAAAACCGAATCAGCAACAATGAAGGAGTCCTTTCTGTACACTTGAGACATGTTGTGCAGCCTTCCAAATGTCTTGAAGCCGCTCCTGTTCAAAGTATCCGGCGATTATGTATACTTCATGACGGAAAATTACGATGAAGTCTTAGGCATAGCACACACCAACAAAAAGCTTTTGAGGTAATACTTTAATACTAATTAATAAGTTGATGTACATGTGATATTTTTATAGGGAGTAGTATGTATACTCGTAAAATTAAATTAATACGGAGTAGAAACTTACAACGTTGAACTTGTGCGTAGTAGTGACACAGGTCGGCTAATGACAAACAGATTGTCAAGCAACGTGGCAAGGTCATGCATGTCCTTGTTAAACAAATTCTCACGCATGGTGTTCTTTATGGGCATGGCACCTGTGACTTTGATGTGGCCTTCAACATCAACAATGTTTTTGCCATAGCCTAGCATTCCATGCGCTCCAACTCTTTCTTGAATTGAAGCCACGTTGTAAGTTTCTACTCCGTATTAATTTAATTTTATGAGTATACATGCTACTCCCTATAAAAATATTGCATGTACATCAACTTATTAATTAGTATTATAAAGTATTACCTCAAAAGCTTTTTGTTGGGGTGTGCTATGCCTAAGACTTCATCGTAATTTTCCGTAATCGTCGGATACTTTGAATAGGAGCGGCTTCAAGACATTTGGAAGGCTGCACAACATGTCTCGAGTGTACAGAAAGAACTCTTTCATTGTTGCTGATTCGGTTTTTGGAACCACTTTTAATATCGTGGAGATCCAAACTCGCTGGTTTTACATCTGTATGTTGTCACATTCTCAAACTTATCTCGGTCAAGCTCTTCACTGTCAGTGATAGATAGAGATATTGATACGGTCTTTGGAATGTCCGTCATCTTGTGTACCATACCAATGGTACCAAACTGCAGGGCGAGAGTCTCCTGGTCGTAAGGTGTGGTTCTATCTCCCATGATCGATCTCTTGTGAAGAAGAGTGGGCTTGTTGGTCGGGAGGGGACGCCGTTTAATTAATGAATTGGAAAGGTGGGGGATCGAAGGAATTAATTAATACGGAGTATGCATGGTTGGTGGGATTAATTAATACGTAGATGCCTAGCCTATATGGACATCTTAGACCTGCTACTTTAATATGCACATCTTAAAAGGATATGTACGAACCATGAGATCAGAACAAATTAACCATGAGTAATACTCATGCACCCATTAATGCAGGAAAAAAACTCATGTACTCGTATATTGGGAACCGTTTGTCACATGACAGATAACAGGTTGAATCTGTTGATATATTGTGCTGAAATTTATAAAATTCGGGTTGAAGTGGCTGATTTACGAAAAAATTATATTTAAATTTTTTTTATCAATAAGTTAAAAAAATGATATGAAAAGAATAGTTAAAATGATCACTTACAATAACTTCAACCAATACAATTAGAAAAGTAATTATAGCCATACTTTTTCTTATCATTACACAATTCCGCGCGCGAAAGCAAAACATTACGGGCCTGTTTACTAACAGAGATATTTTCCAGAAAACTGGAAAACAGGAAACGTGTTTACCAAAGAAATTTTTGGAAAACTGGAGAAAAGAAAAACGCGTTTACCAAATCGTTTTCCAAAACGGAAAAAATGAGACATGTCTCTCTTTTCCTTAATGATTTGGAGAAGTGACTTTTACTAGTTTTTCAAATTTGGAAAACGCAGATGTTACAGTGCCGTTGCAATGAATTTGCATACGTACACCTAGTGGTGGGTCTAGTCCCGCTTCGATGTTGATTCCATTCCGGTACCTCCATTCTCGTACCTTACCCCTTACCCCCACCCTACCCTACCTTACCCACCTAATCCCACCCCGCATACCCATTTTTCCCTATAATGACCCTACCCCCACCCCCTACCACATGCCCCACCCCGATCCACCCTACCGCCACCCCCCTATCACCTCAACCCCACCCTGGCCCACCCTAGCCCCACCCGTATATTACCCCTTACCACATGCGCCTACCTCGCCCCCACCCCACCGCCATCCTAACCCCACCCTCGTACCGCCATCCTACCAGCACCCTTCCGCCTAGAGGTGGACTCGGGCCGGGTGGCCCGACCCGGCACTGTTCCGGGCCCCCCATTCTTGAACCAGAGGCCCGACCCGGGCCCGAACCGGCTCGAGTCCACCCATACTTCCGCCATCCTACCCCCCACCCTACCCTTCCCCTACCTCGGCCCCACCCAGATCCCGGGCCCACCCTACCGCCATCCTATCCCACTACCCCTACCTTACCCCAACCCTACCCACTACCCCCACCCTTACCGCCATCCTACCCCCACCCCTTCCTTACCTCGGCCCCCACCCTACCGCCATCCTATCCCAACTCCATACCCTACCTCTACCTTACCCCAAACCCTACCCACTACCCCACCCTTACCCCTAACCACGACCCTAACCCACCCAACCCCCTACCCCTAGACCTTACCACCCCACCCCGACCATACCCCTTACCCCACCCCCACCCATAACTTCCCTACCCCCGACCGCTACGAGTAGGTATGGATGGGTATGGAGGGTTGTGGGGGAGTATGGGTAGAGTGCAAGATCGTGGTAAGGGTAGGGGTCAAGGATGTGGAATTGGAGATCTGGGTAAAAAAAATTGATGAACATGTTTTTAGATATGAAAATGGAAAACTAAAAAATAGAAACAGAAAATTGGAGATAGAAAAACTGAAAAATAAAAACAGAAAATTGGAGAATGAAAAACAGAAGTAGAAAACAGGAAAATATCTCTATTACTAAACAGGCCCTACTTGTTTTGTGAAAAATTGGCTAGTAAGTCTTATAATCCGAAATATATTGTCACCAAACGAGTTCTTAATGTGTCAACTATCAAACCAACTCTTTAATTTTATTTAAAATGGACTCAGACTTTAAAAGTATTCAAAGTCAAAACCTGTTGAAATTAAAAGGAAAAAATTGCACTTATCTTTCTCGAGTCTCTACCTATGTTGCTATGTATTGTTAAAAAAAAAAGAGATCCACTATCTTTTTTTGTGGAAAATAAAGATTTTATTGATAAAAATAAAGGATACAATCTGACAAAAACAAAATAGAAAGAAAGAAAAAGATACTCCCTCCGTCCCGTTATGATTGTCCCATTTTATCTTTTCGGTCGTCTCACTAAAATTGTCTCATATCTTATTTGGTAAAGTTTGTGTGGTTTTAAATCATTCATACTTGAGAAAACTATCAAATAAGCCCTCTTACTTTTCAAAAAAATCAATTAGACACCCCAACTAAAATAAGACTCAATCAAACCCTTGAACTAATTTAAAAATGGCAAATCCTCTTTTTAGCAGGTATTTTCAAAACTTCCGGTCAAAATTCCATGCTTGGCTGATATGGCATTTTTCATTCCATTTCATTTCATTTCTTTTCTTTTATTTCTTTTCTTTTCTTCTTCCCTGCGCTCAACTCTGTTCGTCTTCCCTGCCCTCAACCACCTGCAACTTTTCTCTTTTCTTTCTTTCCCCATTTGCTTCTTTCCCTAGTTCTCAGCTCGTAGATTCCTGGCCTCACTTCACCATCCTCAATCCTCACCTTCCTCCACCTACCCCTCTTCTCCGTCGCAGACCAAGGTCTTCAATTCGGCGAAATTGAAGCTGCGGATCTGGAAATGGTTTGGAGGTCTTGTGGAGTACTGTACGGCCGTACCTTCGTCGAGTTGTGTTCCTGACCCAGAAGCTTCAATGGAGAACTTTCCCCAACTTCCACCCCAAGAACTCGTCGAAGTTTGATGACCAGCCTGCGAGAAGGAGGTGTCCGGCGTGATATGTGTACTCGAGCAGTTCCGTCGACCATGGTTTCTCTTGGGCTCTGAGCAGTGGAACACCGACCGACAAACATTGGGTGAGAAATGATGGAAGAAGGGTGAAGACTGTGAACTGCTGTAAATTGCAGGAACGGCTTGGTGGAAGCTGAGTAAGGAAGGACAATGTGTGGGGTCAAGGAAAAAAGAAAATAAAAGGTAAGAAAAAATGGATAAAGCCACGTGGATGGCAAATGTGTATATAGTAACCGGTTACTTGTTCATCACCGGCTAAAAAGATGATTTGCAAGTTTTAATTGAGTTGGAGGGTTTGTTTGGACGATCTTTCAGTTGGAGGGCCTAATTGATTTTTTTGAAACATCGGGGGGCTTAATTGATAGTTTTCCCTTCATACTTTATTCTTACTTTATCAATTCAATATCAACCACATATACCCACTTTTATTAATAACCGTGTCACCTTCTCTTGTCCCGAACTTAGGGGGACGGAGGTAGTACAAAAGAAATTAAAGGGAAATAAAAGAAAGGTTAAAAGGTCAAATAGGCCCTTGAACTGACTTAAAGTGTTCAATTAGCCCCTTATCTAAGAAGTTCTGCCTGGCCGTTGCTAATTGGGGCGGTTCCCAGTGGAATTTTTTGATGAATTTTTTTGAGCATCTTCTTCATTAATTCTAGTTTACTTATACCAAATTTCAGCTAAAAATTTAACCTGAAAGGCAGTCAAATGATTTTCCGAAATGTACTGCGCTGTTTAACTTTGCAGTTATCTTCAAAAAATCATTTGACTGCCTTCCCGATTGAATTTTTAGCTAAAATTTGGTATGAGCAAACTAGACTTAATAAAGAAGATACTCAAAAACATTCATAAAAAAATTGCACCGGGAACTGCCCCAATTGGCGACGGCCGGGCAGAACCTTCTATATAAGGGGCTAATTGAACACTTTAAGTCAGTTCAAGGGTCTATTTGACCCTTTAGCCTAAAAGAAAACAAGTATCTAGGCCCATGGAAATTGTTTGGTCTGAGATCGAGTTCTCATTCTATAACGCCTTTTATTCTTCTGGGATTTCTTGTAAATTTTGAACTGAGTGTTCAAATTATCAGTTGGAAGGCATTTATCCAAATTAAAGTAATGAACTGTAATTTACTGCAAATTGCTTTGTTGAATTTGGAATCCCATATTTCTTGTTTTGAAATAGGTAATCGACGGTCGCATTGCGTTGTGTGTCCCAGAAAGTCGTCTGAAAAGTATGAGTCGTCCGTCAAAAGTGTGTATGAGGCATCTGGTACAAGGGATTGTTTCTCGGAAGAAATGAGATGTTGTTTGTCATCATGAGATCAGACCCACTATCTTACTACTGTTATTATTATGTGATGTGATACGTATATAGTGCATACCTGTTATTATTACCAGTACTCCGTATTAAATTTGTGCTCCATAATTCGTTACAAAAACTTTAATACTGATGCCTTCTTTGCTACTGATACTCCCTGTAATCTCCCAAGTGTCTCTTGTTTCTGTATTAAAACTCTAAATGTTGGTCCCGATTACACTGAGAACAGTCTAAAGCGGGGGAGGGGGGTGAATAGACTGTTCAGGTTTGTAACTTTTTCAAGTCTAAGTACTAGACTTAACAGATATGGGGTAGAACAAACTGGCAGCGTATGATCTTCTGGTAGGTGTTCTGTCCGGATAGCCTTCCAAACACACTAAGGCAGTTGGCCTTCTGTCAACTCCAAAGACAAGATTTATTGAACACAAAGTCCAAGTCTTTGTGTTCAATAAATCGTAAGACCACACTCGGGCATATTATGTTCACAAAATGGTGTCATTATGCATAACATTTTAAATAATAAAGAGTGTTTTTTATTGTTTTTGAGCTGGAAGATTTAAGGAGTGTTTGGGTTTGCTTAAAAAAAGCGCTTTTCAGCTTTTGGATTAAAAAAAGTTGAAAAGAGTGTTTTCAAATGACATCTTCTGCTTAAATTAATCACTTAAAAGCTAAAAGCTGGAAGCAGATAGAAGAGTGTTTTAAACTGCTTCTCACTTTTTCTATTACACAAAAAGTACTTATTTTACCAAACACTACCAACTTTTACTTTTCCATAATCACTTTTTTCTCAAACACTACCAACTTTTACTATTAATCACTTTTCCCAAAATCACTTTAAAAAATCACTTTTTTAAAGTTGAAGCAATTGCAAACACTCCCTTAGAATATTAAAAAAAAAATTCCGGTAGTATATATATACACATAGATTCTTTGTATTAGAAGTGAAATAAATTATAGAGAAATGAATCCCTGGGGAGTGGTTATTGAGAAATAGTTAATATGGACCCACCTCCTTGCATACACTGCAATGACGAAGTGTGTAAGCTAAAAAGAGTACTCGTATTATACTGCCGGAATAAAGTCATGCATTCTCGATCTTCAAGGTTTCCTTAGGGAAAAGGGGCAAATAAGCCATCGAACTAACCAAAAAAGTGCAAATCACCCTTTATATATGAGGCTCTGTTCGGTCGTCGTCATTTGGGGAGGTTTCCGGTGGAATTTTTTGATGAATTTTTTTGAGCATCTTCTTTATTAAGTCTAGTTTACTCATACCAAATTTCAACTAAAAATTCAATCGGGAAGACAGCCAAATGAATTTGTGAAGATAATTGCGCTGTTAAACAGCGTAGTATATTTTAGAAAATCATTTGACTGCCTTTCCGAATTTGTTTTTAGCTGAAATTTGGTATGGGTAAACTAAACTTAATGAAGAATATGCTCAAAAAATTTCATCAAAAAATTCCACAGGGAACTGCCCCAAATGGCGACGGCCGGACAGAACCTCCTATATAAGGGGTGATTTGCATTTTTTTGGTTAGTTCGAGGGTTTATTTGCCCCTTTTCTCGGTTTCCTTATGTCCCCTCAATGTGTTGGTCATTTACTCCAACCTCTGGTCCCATAAACCTAACTAAACCGAACCAAACCGAAACCGATAAAAACCGAACAAAATCGAACCGAACTAAAGAAACTCAAAAAACTTTCATATATTATTAAAATTGATGGTTTTATTTGGTTTGGTTTGGGTTTACTTAAGTAAACCATTTGGTAAACATTTGCTCAAACCGAATGGGTTAGTACTTTGGTTTGGTTTGGTTTAAAACGGAAAAAACGTAAACCGAACACCGAACAACATACACATGTATATACTTTGTATTTATCTCCGCTCTTCATTTTTAAGATATAAATAAATAATTTAGACATGAAAATACATATTTAAGCATATACTCGTATCATTTTAACTTTTACACATTTCATACATTCATTATGACAAAGTTAGCTAATACAACATATTTGTATTTATTATGTTTGGCGATAACAATAGCAAATTGCTTTTATATGTTTACATGATTCATTTGAATAAAATTGTGAATATTACAACATTTGTACCACCGACTCTTTTAGGTTTTTTTAATTATTTTATGTGATATTATAAAGGAAATATTGACAAGAATAATCCCACCTTTCACTGGTCTTCTCATAATAATCCCACCTTTAAATAATCCAAAAATAATCCCACCTTTGCACCTCATCTTCTTTCATTGGACCCTGACCAAGTTTTTTTTACCTTTTTTAAAAATCTTATATAAATAATCTCACATTTATAAGGATATAATTAAAAAGTGAAAGGTGAGATTATTTGTATAATTTTCAAAGAAAGAGTAAAAAACATTGTCAGGGTCCAATGAAAGAAGATGAGGTGCAAAGGTGAGATTATTTTGAGATTATTTAAAGGTGAGATTGTTATGAGAAGACCAGTGAAAGGTGGGATTATTCTTGTCAATTTTTCCTATTATAAATGCTAATCAACTATCTTATTTTTTGTAAGAAGTGAATTTTTTGTAGTGATAAAAAAGATGTTAGAAGTTTTGATTTATAATATTTTATTATTTATTTTTCTATCTTTTATTTCCTTTTACATTTTATTTAAATAATCAATAAATTAAAAAAATATGAGATGGACTACTAATTTTCTAATTCTAAATTATAGAACTTGATCAAATAAAATAATAATCATAAGCAAAAAAATACTAAATTACTTCTAAATTATTTCCTTTTTCATTTTCTAATTCTAAATTATAGAACTTGATCAAATAAAATAATAATCATAAGCAAACGAATCAAATCAAACTAAATTAAACATAATACTATGTATTTTTTTACTTCGGTAAACTGAACCGAAACCAAACCGAAAAACAAATGGTTTTTGTTTGGTACAAATTCTCCCAAGCCGAATAAACTGAAACCGAACCGAAACCGAAGAAAACCGAATTGTAAACCGAATTGCCCACCCCTAATTTCTTTCTTCACCGGATTCATCTACTTCCATCTCACTGTCCGAGCCATCATAGAACATTTTTGTGATAGCCTCCTAAATTTCTTTCGCCGTCTGAAGTCGGATGAATTGTTGAATCAATGAAGGACTCATTAACTCGATGAGTCAGCTCTTAACATGATTGTTGTTGATCAACCAATTTTCGAGTTGATGTGCATCTGAGGGTTTGGGATTCTTGCAAGTGAGAAAACCGAATTTGTTTCTTGCTCCAATGTGCATCTCCATAAAGTAGGTGGCACATGATTTTAGTTAGGGTATGTTTGGTTCAAGGAATGTCAGATAACTATGGGAATGTTAGATTATTGGGTATGTTAGATAGATGGGAATGTGATTAATGTATAGCCTATTTGTGTTTGGTTACGATTAAGGAATGTCACATTAAGTTGTTTGGTTGAATGATATCTTTTATTGCATATTTGGTGAATTACTTGAATGTCCTTTATATATTTGTCTCTTAACACATTAAACTTATCAATTATTAGAAAATGTATTTCATGTTTTAATTTTTTTTCTCAATTTTCAATTGTAGTTCATGTTTCAAATAAATACATAGTATACTTTAAGTTTTTATATGTAGCACTTCTTGAATTAATTTTTAGACATGAATTAGAAAAATGTACCCGGCCCGACCCGTTACCCGGGCGGGTAGACCGCCCCGAACCGGTACTGATCAACAGCCGTTCCGGTCCCGGGCTTCATTCCCAAAAAGCCAAGCCCATCCGGGCCCGACCCGGAATCGGACTGGGCTCGGTCCACATCTAGATATTTCGATTAATGAAGCATAGGTTTTTTTTGGAAGAAAATTAATAAGCCATCAGGAATCTAACATAACCTAAGGCATTGGTGGGTTTGACATGCCTGGTAATGTGATCACCTTTTCCACTTTTGGGAATGTAACATTCCCAAAAGAAAAAATCAAACCCGCGAACCAAACACAGGTATCTCACATTCCGGGCATGAGATTCCGCCATGCATAAGATATCACCTTGAACCAAACACTCCCTTATAGTTATTTATATCCCAATCAACTGGGATATCAATCTGAGCTCCTTTTTCTGTGATGTCATATTTTCCGCTTTCTGCAATTTACTTTTTATAGATTTTTGTTAATTTCTTGTGTTGTTGTAAAAAAGGAACCTGAGATAGGTGAGTAGGGTGCTCTATTTGAAGTTGTAAAAAAGCAGCAAAGAAGAATAGCATGGTAGGATGCAAATTGTGCTTTATTTTGAGTTTTATGCTATATTGAATATTAGTATTTGAATATTGTGTTGCTTCAATTATATAGCTAGGGTGGATGCAGACTATGCAACAAATGACAATATGGATCTTGAAGCTAGAGGGTTGATTAATTGAGCAAACTATTGCATGTTTTTTAGTGTTGGCTAAACTATCATTTAATCATTGATGACTTGTTCTATTTTGCTACTTTATTTGTTTGGTTGGTTGTCAGTTTATTCAAACTTCCTGATTTGGTAACAAGAATTTGAACTTTTCGAATCTTGTCAAGCGTTTAGCATATTTATTGTGATTGTGATACACTGTTAGTAATTTAGTATTTTGTGTATTGTTAGCATGCAAACAGGTTGAAACATGTCTTGACACAAAAAAAGCTCACGAAAATTAGTACAGACAACGTGGATGAAAACATTACTAATAGACCAAACCGACCGAGTGAACCGAGTTCTTCAGTTCTATGAACCGACAACCGACCGACCGAATTCCATTCGGTTCGGTTATCCTCCACTTACAATGGAGCTATTTTTAATCCTCCACTTATTGTGTCAAATCATAGTAGAATGACTAAGAGTATCAATTTGATAATACTCGAAGGACTAAATGTGGGAACCATGAAAGTCGAAGAATAAAAATGGAAAAATTAAAAGTCATGTACCAAAAGTGTCACTGACACAATACTCGGAGGTCCAAAAGTGACAAAAACTCCAATTTCATATTTCAATTGTCTATTTTGAATCACCCAAAAATCTTGACCACATAATTAACAACTCAAGCTCCCTCTACATTTATCATTGTTTCTTTTACCTTGCACCCTGTCGGACTGGAGAAAGCCATATGAAGAATGACGTGAAGTTTCTTTCAAGGCCAATTCGAGAAACCAATATGTTGATAGCCACTGAACAATTACCCTACTAGGGTT